GTAGTACTGTAACTCCTGTTCTATCTGTCTAGCCCACAATAGTGGCAAACCGGTACGAACCAGGCCTGCTGGGCATCCCGCCCCTTGAGGACCCTGCGTGAACATTCAGATTGATTTTATTAGCATGCCTAAATGTTGTTCTTATGAATATGTTCTTGTTTGTCTTTGTACGTATTCTGGATGGATAGAGGCCTACCCTTGTGTGAGGGCCAATTCTCTCACCGTAGCAAAAAGATTGTTAAAGGACTTTGTTCCCCGATTTGGCCTGCCTCTCTCAATTAACAGTGATAGAGGCACCCACTTTACAGGCCAAATCATGCAACAAATTTGCAAGGCCCTCAACATTTCCCAGCATTTGCATTGTGCTCACCATCCCCAGAGTGTGGGGGCGGTGGAACGGAAGAATGGGGAACTAAAGAACAAGATCTCTAAGATCTGTAAAGAAACTGGTTTAAAGTGGCCTGATGCCCTCCCCCTTGCTCTCATGTAAATGAGAAGCACTCCCTCGCGTAAGCATGGTCTATCCCCACATGAGATCCTTATGGCCAGACCTATGAGGATGCCAGTATCCCCCCCACCCCCCAACACCACTTGGATTTGCAACTTAATGATGCTACCATTATGACATATTGTCAGACTCTAATACAGTGCATCAGGTCTCTTCACAAACAGGTCCAAAGTGCTCTGCCTGAACCAGCTGATATTCCGTGCCTTACAGCCTGGAGATTGGGTCTATATCAAGGTGCACCAGAGGAAGACTTCTTTGGAGCCCACTGGAAAGGCCCTCACCAGATCTTAACCACCCACACTGCGGTCAAGTGCAAGGGACTAGCCAACTGGGTCCATGCCTTTCACTGCAAACAGATATTGCCACCCTTAGACCCAGACGCCGAAGAATTCCATCCTGTGAACCCTGTCTTGGGAAGCAACCTGGGTGGCAGTGATTGTGACCCCTCCCCCGGCCCTGATAAGGAACCCAGATATAATCTCAGGAAAAGACAACAGGTCAACCTACCTCCAGCCTAAAAAGGCCAAAATAACACCTTTACAAGCCCAGTGGTGAGCCTAGCGCCCACTGGCACCTCAACTGCCATGACTGACCCAACGGCTAGAAGGAAAGAATCAGCCATGGTGTGAAAGTGGCTCATGCCTTCTATTTGGTTTGTGTGTGTAACTATGCTTTTATTATTGCTGTTAAATTTCCATGACACCTTTGTTTTTCTGGGCACCTGGGATCACCAGCACCTTCTTGATAACATCCACCCCTGTGTCTATGAACCAGTCTATAGACCCGCTAGGTCAAACCCTACAAGTAACCCCCCCGATATTTTACCAAACCACGACCACCCCATGAGAAGAAAAGAAATACTCGCGCTGCTAAACCAGCCAGGCCCAAAATTTTGTAACTGCAAAAGACATTAAAAATTGGCCCTGGTATAAAAAACGAGGTATTATCCATTGGCAGGGAGGGACTTGTGGAGGTCACTCTTCGGAATGTGGCACAGATTGGGTCTTAGGTTTTATTCCACAGGCTGCACCCTGTGTTTTTGGGCAAATACCATCAGCATGTACTGTCCTCCCCAATTGGCTTCCAGACAACGAATATCAAAAGCCCCAACAACTCCTCATTGCCTTGAGCTCCCCCCCCACCATTGCCCCTACCCCTGTGGCATACCCAGACACCAGTAGGCCTGTGCACTCTTCTGAAATCCACTGGCCAAGACCCTCTCATCTTAGCAATTTGTCGGAATTTTGTAAAGAAACTCTGTTTTTTAACATCCAAAACAGGTCTTATGAATGAACTATTGAGTGGAAAACAAATGGAAGGGTGGAGATAGAAATTTTTGATATCACTACCAGGGAGCCCAAGAAATCTGAACTTACCATTCTGGGATTTTATAGGGGGGTAGACATGATGGCCATCCCCGGGGTTTGTAACACCTCAATGGGGAAAGGTCCCTTTTGTTATTTAGTCACCCAGTTAAAAGGGGGTCAAATATATATCCAAAGGCTCTGTTTAACCTCAAGAAATTTTAATTGTATTCAAACAATCCCTGAGACCACTAATTTGTAACCTGTACCCTATTGCAGTATGCCCCTCCCTATGTTTTTAGAGTTAATGGTTCCCAAAAATATATGAAGGTGTTTAGTCAGCAAATGTGGTATAAGACTAACCCTAAAAGGGATATATATGGAAATTGATGGACCATAATCAATGCCACCCTGGGAACCATAAGATTCATGTTACCCTTATCTAGTTTCCAAGTTACCTCTAAATATCACAACTGTTTGCGGGGGGCTGCTCTCCGAATAGCTCAGCAACGGGCCTAGGCTTTCCCCAAACGGAAAAGAGATTTGACTGGACATCTGTGGGATGGAGCCAATAATGCAGCTGCAATTTGGAATATCCATAAAAACCAACAGCATGCAGAAAAATTGGGCCAATTAGAAAGGGCCACAGGGCTTATTACAGGGGCACAACTAACCCAGGTGCAGGCTGGGGTAGGTGAGTTACATATCATTTCCGCCCTTAGTTCCTTAACCCAGCGACTGCTAGCAGAGATGGTCTGGAACATCACTGGTGCTGGGGAGGCATTGCGGTGGGACATGGCATGTTCAGAGATCCAGGACTTTCTGAATGATCAATTAGCGGCCATTTGGAGTGACCTCGAGCATTACCTAATTGTGGTTTTATGCTATATAAACTATTTGAAAATCTGTAGTCGGGGGGATTGCCAGTTCACTGGTACCCCCCGTGCATGCATGAAAATAAAGAGGCCTCAGGCGATTCTGATCCAAACACAACACGTGGTGGTTTTTCCATGACAAGACCAACATGGCTACCCCCTGATAAGTGCTACAGGCAGTTTTGCAATAATGTGAAAAACTTCAACATTTACCTAATTTTTGGGAAAATACATGCACAGTTTTTTCAGCTTTTATAGTGTAAGTGTGCTTATTTGTGTATGCCACCGGTCCAGAATTTGATCCATTCCCAACGTATAGCATCTCCTCATTATTCACTTTATCTTCAGTGATTTGTCTGTGTGGATTCTGATAATGATTCATCTCTGTTACCGCACTAGTCTAATTTCTAGTTTATTGCATACAGTGGAAAATAGGAATAGACAATTTATTCACACACTGCCAAATGCATGTATCATGTTGCTATTCAAATTAGTTGCAGGCTTTCATTTTTGTCTCCATTTTTCTTACAAATCCTAAGATTTTTTCCCTTCTTTACTTCAGATGATGGTCTTAA